ATGTTTACATTTAGTCCACAAGAAAAAAATAGCTCAAATTATTAAAATAACCCCCAATAATTTCAGCTATTTTTTTTCTTGTGGACTAAATGTAATCAGATACAAATACTCAAAAACAACAACAACAAAAAACCAACTGGTGTGTGAAAATTTACACTAGGTCATTACTTGCTCTGTACACAATTTGTAAAAGATGATTTGAGGAATAGTTTGAGATATTAATAGATTATGACCTGTTTGAAAACTTTCACCACAAAAGACCTGTTTCCCCATTTTCCGCAGTAGACCTCGGCGCACACGCTCGATCCTATTTTTAAGTCCTGGTGGAAATGTCTCGTTCCCTCTATGACGTCAGAATATGTGATGAAATACTTCTGTTTTTCACCTGAAATGGACAAAAAAGGTTTAATCTCAAATCCTTATGAAACCACTCAAAACAGAAATGAAACTTTCTACCTAATATCTACAAAGAAAGATATGGTTAGTACTGAATTACAGCTACATGTACAATAATGCCAACTGACACAAAGACAATGAAGGTCGATTTTAAATGCGCTTGTACGAATTACCTTTAACAGACACAGACTCTGGATAAAGAGCTGAAATTTGACAGGACTTCTCAGTGTTTGGCAGATACTGATCGGAAAATGAAAAATACAGATAGAGTGAAATATGAAAACATAATATATAAACATAATGCGACTAAATAAGCAAAAACAAAACTGCTCAGTTTGCGAGTGCGAGTTTATTCTTGCTTTCTAACACACCTAAACCAGAATAAAGTCAAGCATCTGACCAGCATCTGCTTTAAAAATCTGCAGGTTGATAACAGCATCAAAAAAGACATTACCGTGGCAAAGAGAGGGGGTGAGGATGACTTCAGTTTGCATGAGTCTAGAAAAAAATCAAATATGTTTGATTACGGTTTGTTATACAGTGCTTTCAAAGCAACATCACTAGCAGTTTCATTATATGTTGTCTTTTGATAGATTGCGGTTTTGTGGGTGATATGATTGTTAGAATTGCAGTGTGGTTTACATGCACCGCTGTGGTTATTTAAATCGCATGTTTTGTTTTGCTTCGCTTTACAGTTCACTTCATATTTATGTTTATCAGGTTCCTCTTTAAAATAAAATATATATTACAACTATAATAATGCTATGTACTATAGAAAGCTTCTATTACTTAAAAGAGGAAGCTGTGTAGGCAGTAAAATGTAAACAATCCCTACAAGACTACCAGCCAATATATTAGTTACTTAACATTATCGCTAATAAAACTATAAATTATACTATACATTTTTTTTGCCATTTCAAATTATTTTTCTTAAGTAAATTATTGTCTACTGTAGACTACAATAACTGTAGTAGTCTTATGATTAAGATGAAGATGTTACCTTGCGACTGGAAAAGACTCCTGGCTCGAGTGTGACCCATCTCATCCAGAACCTTCAAAAGATCCCCTACTGTTTTATTCTGCTGGGCCCACAACCACATGAGCTCTTGTGTCGGACTTTTCCCAGCAGCCACATACATTTCAGTACATCTCACTTCCAGCTGACTGGGAAGGATGTGAGTAGCTGTAATGAATCAGA